ACACCTTGTCATTTGGGTTGACTGAAGATGAACATGAAGACCTTGGCATTGTGTTCTTTGTGTTGATTGAAGATGAATATGAAGACATTCTCCTTTGTCCTTGAGGCTGATTGAAAATGAATATGATGACTTCAAATTTATTATTTAGGTTAGGCAATCTTGAACAAGAAGATATTTCCGTTGCCTCCTTGGATTGGCCAAAGTGTGGAACACTCCATTGTCTTTATCCTATAGGGACCAAGTGGAGCATTCCAGTGAAGGAAATACTGGTGAAAGGACTCATGTTGGAATTTAGAATAGAAGAAGCAATAAAAATAATGATAAAACATGCATTTTGTCACCGGAGTCTTTTAGGACACTAGTGCATAGTCTATAATTTAACGCATGCTTTTTTTTAGAATTTATGCTAAGCATAAAAAAATCATGAGTAAGTTATTAGTAATTAAAAAATGCAATAGAGAGGAGATCCTTAGAGTGAAAAAGCACAACTAGTGATATATAACAATATATGATATTGCTTTAACATTCATGATGGTTAACGAATGATTAGCATGACAAAGAAAGAAATTAAGTTATAACTATAACTATCAAGGTTATAATGATTGATGATGTTAGAACAAAATATTAAACTTTGAAGTTTAGATTCAAAACATAAGAAATAGTTCATTTGTAAATCCCATATTTAAATTCTTTTTATTCTTTGCAGTCTTCTCCATGTCATAATCTTTTTCATCACCTTCATCAATTTCATGTCCACTTGCAAGTGTGATTGGCCTTAAATTTGTAAATAAAACTATCGTCCTTTTCATGTTCATTTAGTTTCTTTCATGGACATATTTCAGCACAATAATATATGTAAGCTCCTCTTCATGAAATGCTAATTCAATATCTTTATTCGATTCATCATTCGATTTCATTGTTAACTTCTCGTTAGCATCATATATGTTATCTTAAGAAATTTAATTAATGCTTTCACGATGGTTGTATCTCAAAATCAAGGCCCTATTATTTTTCATGTAAACCAAATTCTTGGGGTGCCATGATTCATTTTTCTTTTTCTTTTATCATGAAGAAAATTTTTGGCAGAGATGAGGATGCTCAGGTGGTTGAGTGGCTTTACCCTTAGAGATAGTATACGAAATGAGCATATACGTGAAAAGGTTGGAGTAGCTCCAGTAGAAGATAAGATTAGAGAAAGTCGCCTTAGATGGTTTGGTCACATAAAACGGCGGCCTTGCGATGACCCGGTTAGGAGAGTAGAGGTATTAGATTTGACTTATGTTAAGAAAGGTAGAGGTATACCTAAAAAGACTTGGTTAGAAAATATTAGGAATGACCTTTCTTTTTTAGATTTAAACGTAAATTTGACTTTTAATAGGACACAATGGAGAAAAAGGATTCATGTAGGCGACCCCACGTAGTGGGATAAAGGCTTGATGTTGTTGTTGTTGTTGTTGTTTTTTGTAATATATAATAGCTTTCGATGATCATCGTAACACTAATAATTCTATTTGAAATTTAAAACTTGCTCAATAATTAATCAATTGAAGTTTCGTCGGTTTGAACTCGAACATGATTTGCCCTCAAAATGGCTCATTCAAAATTATTTGATTCAATTCAAAGTTAACTATATATATGTGTATGTATGTATGTTTATATGTATGTGTGTATGTACGTATGTATGCACGTATATATGTATGTCTATATGTGTGTACGTGCGATTGTATATTTAATAAAATTAAGTAAATTTGCCTTGATTAAGCTCAAAATTCTGCTTAAAATTGATTACTTCGAAGTTCGAACTAAACTTTAACATAGAAATCTTTAATTTTGAGTTTACACAATCTTACCTATTTTTCCATCAGATAAAAAAGTTATGGAAGGTATAAGTACTCCTTTATCAGTCATTTTTATGTATAATTTGCGAATTAGTAACAATTCATTTAGTAATAAATTAGTTCATATTTTTAACTATCGAGATGTTATTCACTTTGACCTATTGGCCTTCATTCTACTTAAGGGTTTTACACGTTATGCGAAGGTTGCAAGGTAATTAAAAAAAATAGAAATTAGACCTATAAAAAATTTCATAAAATAGAAGACACAATCTGCCCATTAATATCACGTTTTTATTTTTCAAGATAGTATGTTCAATGATAATCTAAACTACAAAATTTGTTCAACAATTCAATATTTCTCCTTGAAGTTTGAAGGTTGGAGAGTTGTAATTGATTACTTCTTCACTAAACAAAACTTAATTTAATTAATAAAATTGATGATAGAACATAAAAATTGCTAAATGAAATAAAAACATGGGATGTAATTGCATGATTTCAAAGCACTAGAGGCATACTAAAGCTTCATTTGGGACTATTTATTTACTGATTATTAAAACAGTTTCATAATAAAAAATAAATTTTTTTTTACTAGAAAGCTAGCTGCTTTAAGAAGCAATAAAAAAGTCAACCCAAATGAAGCCTAAGGTTTGATTTGACATAGTTTTGTTATTGTTTTTTTAAAACAGTTTTTTAATAAAAAATTATTGATAACAACCAAAAAGAATTAGTCAAAAACCGTCCAAAAAGAAGCCTAAATAGTAAATATTGTACTATTTTTGCAGTATTTTTGTTGCCATTTATCATTCAACATGGTCTTCAACCCAACTGGAAGAAGATCTGGCTCATTTTCCTCCGTTCTTTCAAATAGAAGTTGGTCTTCAACCGACACTTATATTTGCTAAGATAGTTTGGTATCGATACGTACTGAACCTTTCTAAAAATGGTTTCTGCTTGGAGTCTGGGAGGTATTGTTCTTCTCTGATGCCAAATTATAAGCTATTTTCATGAATGTTTTATTTAAATGAAGTTCATTAATCTATGAAGCCTGGCGTTTGTGATCAATCTACATTGAGATCCTTTCTTTGGATTTTATTTTGCAATATATGTTTTACTTCCTTTTGCTTTTACTTGTTATATTAATGGCAATCTGTTATGTATTTGCTTTGCCTGATAGATTTTGATCCTCTTTTTATTGACTGCAGATTGGTTTTATTGGACTTGTGAGAACGAGTTATTTGATCTGGGAAACTCATGTGCTCAAAGAAGATTAATAGATGCTGTAAACCTTGTCTTTCTTCTAATTTCAGTTTTGGGTTTTCTAATATCATATTTCAGAAGAGAAGGTCCGCATGGGAGGATAAATAGAAGCTGGGATTCTTTCATTGCTTCACTGCTGTGTGCAGTGCTTAGCATTTCATGTTTCAGTCTCAGCTTCTGGGCTCTATTTGGTGGAAGCAGTAGTCTTTTTCAGTTGAGTTGGCTGGTTTATTTTGTTAGAGGGATAATTTGGATATCTTTGGCCTTTTCTATATATATTTATTCTCCTAAATGGCTCAGAACTATACTTTTAAGTTGGTGGATTACATTTTCAGTTCTGATATCTGTTTTTAATCTGGAAATGCTTATCAGAAGATCAGGATTTCAAATCCTTGACTTGATTTCATGGCCTGAGAATTTGTTGCTCCTTTACTGTGCTTTCAAGTTGGCAGCGAGAACCAGTTTGAATAAGAATCTTGAGAGTGGTAGCTTATCCAGCCCGCTACTGCTCGATCGAAATGAAAGAAGAACAAATTCAAGTAAAGCTAGCTTGTTTAGCAGGTTGACATTTTCATGGTTGAATCCATTGCTCCGCTTAGGATCATCCAAGCCACTGACTCTTGAAGACATTCCAGCTTTAGATTTTGATGATGAGGCATTCTCAGCTTACCAAACTTTCAGTAGAGCATGGGAATTTGAGAGGAAGAACAGATCAATAACTAGAAACTTGGTTCTCAAATCATTAGCCAAGTGCTTCAAGAAAGAAATGGCATTAGTTGGATTCTATGCATTACTAAAATCAGTGTCTGTTGCAGCTTCACCTTTAATACTCTACGCCTTTATTTTATTTTCAAACCAAGAAGAGAAAGATCTTAAATTTGGCTTCTTTTTGATTATCTGTCTTTCCCTTTTAAAGTTTGTTGACTCCATCTCTCAGAGGCATTGGTTTTTTAATTCAAGAAGGGTTGGAATGAGGATGCGCTCTGCCGTTATGGCTGCCATTTTTCAGAAGCAGTTAGGACTTTCAAGCCAGGGAAGGAGAAGGCATTCAACTGGAGAGATTGTAAACTACATAGCAGTAGATGCATATAGGCTTGGAGAGTTTCCATGGTGGTTTCATATGGCATGGAGCTGTCCTCTTCAAATACTACTCTCAATTATTGTACTAATTATAACTGTTGGTGTAGGAGGAGCACTCCCAGGTCTGATTCCATTGATCATTTTCGGCTTCCTCAATGTCCCCATTGCAAAGATTATGCAGTACTATCAAGCACAGTTCATGCTTGCTCAGGATGAAAGGTTGAGAGCAACTTCAGAAGTACTGAACAATATGAAGATCATCAAGTTGCAATCATGGGAAGATAAGTTCAGAAGAACGGTTGAATCTCTAAGGGACTTGGAGTTCAAATGGTTGAGAGATATCCAAATCACAAAATCATATGGAAGTGCACTGTATTGGATGGCACCAACTGTTGTTTCTGCTGTAATTTTTGCAGGAACTGCAGCTCTGAAGAGTGCTCCTCTCAATGCCAGTACAATTTTTACAGTTCTGGCGACGTTAAGAGTTATGTCAGAGCCAGTCAGAATGTTACCAGAAGCTCTTTCAGTCCTCATCCAAGTAAAGGTTTCCTTGGATCGAATCGATGTTTTTTTATTAGAAGATGAGATCAAAGAAGAGAATGTGCAAAGAAACACATTAAATAATGTGAACCACGGCATTGAAGTGCATAATGGTTGCTTCAGTTGGGATTTAGATGCAGCTATTCCAGCTCTTAAGAACATTAATTTGGAAATTAGAAGAGGACAGAAGATTGCTGTTTGTGGACCAGTTGGTGCAGGAAAGTCATCACTTCTATATGCAATACTTGGAGAGATACCTAAAGTTTCAGGATCTGTAAGTAACATTATAAACTGGATAGACATGTTTATGAAAATGGTTAATATAGGGAAAAAAAAAATTTAAACAACTCTCTTATTGCTCAGGTTAATGTATTTGGTACAATTGCTTATGTTTCACAAACATCATGGATTCAAAGTGGAACTATTCAGGATAACATATTATTTGGGAAGCGCATGAACAAGGAACGGTACGACATGGCTATCAGATGCAGTGCACTGGATAAGGATATTGATAATTTTGTTCATGGAGACCTTACAGAGATTGGTCAGAGAGGTCTGAACATGAGTGGAGGACAAAAACAAAGGATTCAGTTAGCAAGAGCAGTCTACAGTGATGCAGATAATTACCTCCTTGATGATCCCTTCAGTGCAGTAGATGCACACACTGCAGCTATTCTCTTTCATGTAAGGATGTTTTGATGATTACACTTGAAAATTGGATTGTTTCATGGAATTCATAATTTTCAATTTCGTCAAACAAGTTACCAAACTTTAAAAAATAGATTCAAATATATTCCATTGAAATTGTTTCAAAATAGAGATAAAAATGGGCAAATGCTCCATTTTCATAAATAGGAGCTTCATTCAATATTAGATTTTGTATTTATTTGGCAGCCTAAGAGAATGATTTGAACTTTGCAGGACTATGTGATGTCTGCTTTAGAAAATAAGACGGTCATTCTTGTAACTCATCAAGTTGAGTTTCTGGCTGAAGCTGATGGAATTCTGGTTAGAGGCTTCTTAAGCTTTTCCTTTTTCATAGAAAGATAGGATCTTATCTTGTATCTAATCAATCAATTTCTCACTTTGCATAGTCTGATAGAATTCATATGATTGTCCTCAGGTAATAGAGGATGGTGAAATTACACAAACAGGAACCTATGAGGAGCTTCTAACATCAGGAACAGCGTTTGAGAAGCTTGTTAATGCTCATCAATCTTCATTGATTACATTAGATTCTTCATTCCATGAGCATGGAAGAAATAAACAGCAAAAAGTAGAAGATCACCTGATAGTTACAGCTTTGCACTCGATGAAACAAAACAGTGAGAATGAAGTTTCAAGCAAAGGTATTTCAGCTGTCCAACTAACTGAAGATGAAGAAAAGGAAATGGGCAATGTTGGGTTGAAGCCATACAAAGATTATTTCCAGGTTTCAAAAGGATATCTACTTCTCACTTTGGTTGTCTCCTCTCAGTTCATCTTTGTTGGTTTGCAGATTTTATCAACCTATTGGATGGCATTTGCCAGTCAAATGAATCAAATTAGCGACAGCCTTTTAGTTGGAGTCTATGCAGTAATTTCAATCCTTAGTTGCGTCTTTACACATGTTAGAACTTTGCTAGTAGCAGATCTTGGACTAAAAGCTTCAAGGTCTTTCTTCACTGCTCTCATGGATTCAGTGTTTAGTGCACCGATGTCTTTCTTCGACTCAACACCGGTGGGAAGGATTTTAACCAGGGTATTAATTCAACTATAATTTTATGATACTTAGGCTTTGTTTGGGACGGCTTTCTTTCTGCTTCTTAAAACATCTTTCTAGTACAAAATTTTTTAATTTTGTACTAAAAACTGCTTTAAGAAGCTAAAAGAAAGCTGTCCCAAACAAAACCTTAAGCTTCCTTTGAGACGGCTTTCTTACTGCTTCTTAAAGCAACTTTTTAGTTCAAAATTTTTAATTTTTTACTAGAAAGATGTTTTAAGAAGCAATAAGAAAGCCGTCCCAAACGAAGCCTTAATATTGATTCATGAACTTCTATCTATCATTATAACCTATGCAATTATAAACCATATCATGAAAAGTTTATTCATTGTAATCCATTTATGAAAAAAATTGAAAATTGTATGTGAATTGTATCTGATGCAGGCATCTTCAGATTTATTTACAGTGGATTTTGATGTTCCATACTCCCTTGTCTTCTTTCTATCTGGTTTTGTTGAACTTTTATCAATAATAATAATCATGGCTACTGTGACATGGCAAGTGTTAGTGGTAGCATTTCCAGTTCTCATCCTAGTTGCATATCTTCAGGTGTGTGTATTCATCTATTAGTTATTTTTCTCCCTTTACACTAAAATTAGACGTTGTCTCACTGGTTTTCTCTTTAACATTCTTCAAATTTTTGAAGAAATACTATCTATCATCAGCAAGGGAGCTAGTGAGGATCAATGGAACAACAAAGGCTCCTGTTATGAATTATGCAACTGAATCCTATCTTGGTGTTGTGACAATAAGAGCTTTTGAGATGACTGAGATGTTTTTTGGGAACAACTTAAAGTTAATAGATATTGATGCAACTCTATTTTTCCATACCATTGCTGCCTTGGAATGGATACTAATAAGAGTGGAGCTTCTGCAAAACTTAACCATAATAACTTCAACTCTTTTCCTTGTTTTGGTTCCTCATGGATCCATTTCTCCAGGTACATATATATCATAATCCATCCATATTCATGATTCTCCAAGAACAAATATTTCATATTTCATATTCAGAGCGGTATAACAATTAAAATTTACTTTTAAGAATTAAGTAGTCTTTCACTGAGGTTTCGTTTGGGACGGCTTTCTTATTGTTTCTTAAAGCAGCTTTTTAGTATAAAAATTTTAACTTTTGGTACTAGAAAGCTGCTTTAAGAAGCAGTAAAAAAACCGTCCCAAACGAAGCCTGAATCTTATCAGTGCCTTACAAACAATGAATGCAATCCAGGATTTTCAGGACTTTGTCTTTCTTATGCGCTCAATCTTTCGTCATGCCAAGTGTTTACTACTCGTTTCTATTCGTACGTTGAAAACTACATCATATCAGTTGAGAGAATCAAGCAGTTCATGCATATCCCTCCAGAACCACCAGCAGTGATTGAAGATAGCAGACCACCATCTTCATGGCCCCTTGATGGAAGAATTGACTTTCAAAATCTCAAGGTTAAGACTCTTTTTTTAATTTTAACTTTAGTTGGTTCCATTGTGTTCTTGTAATTCTTACTTGGCTTATATACATATGTGCAGATTAAATATAAGCCTACTGTTCCATTTGTTCTCAAGGGAATCACCTGTACATTTTCAGCTGGAAATAAGATTGGAGTTGTCGGGCGTACCGGAAGTGGAAAAACAACTCTTATAAGTGCTCTATTTCGTCTGATAGATCCTGCTGAAGGGAGAATACTTATTGACAGTATTGACATTTGTTCTATAGGGCTTAAGGATTTGAGGATGAAACTTAGCATAATTCCTCAAGAACCAACTCTTTTCAGGGGTAGTGTTCGAAGTAATCTGGATCCTCTTGGAGTTTATACTGATCATGAGATTTGGGAGGTTAAGCATATCATTCAACTTATTATATAGATTAAATAGCTTTGTGTTTGATTCTTCTCTTATTATATTCATCTTATAGTACTTAGATGGAACAGTGATAACTGTCAGAAAGGCATATTTATAATGTCCAAGTTTATCATTTCAGGCCTTGGAGCGCTGCCAATTGAAGTCCATCATTAGAAGCCTTCCTGCTCAACTTGATTCCTCTGGTAAGTTGGTTTATCTATTATGACTAGACAGGGATTTCAATCCATGTTAATGTGTCAGGTTTAAGGCTTCGTTTGGGACGGCTTTCTTATTATTTCTTAAAGAGGTTTTTAGTAAAAAATTAAATCTTAAATTAGTAAGAAAGCCGTCTCAAACGAAGCCAAAATCTTGAAGCTGCTAAACTTTGGTTCTTTACAATGGCATTCAACTAACTATTGTTCCCATGGTAAGTGAGCGACGACGGGGAGAACTGGAGCGCAGGGCAACGACAACTCTTCTGCTTAGGCCGAGTCCTCCTCCGCAAGAACAAAGTTCTTGTTCTTGATGAAGCTACTGCATCAATTGACTCTGCAACAGATGCAATTCTTCAGAGAATTATCAGGCAGGAGTTCTCTACCTGCACTGTGATAACAATAGCTCACAGGGTTCCAACTGTAACAGACAGTGACATGGTTATGGTTCTCTCCTATGGTATGATCTCATTCATGTATCATTCATCAGGCAATTTGTTTTTTTTTTCCCTGCTTTCAAAGTTTTTCAGTAATTTTTATTAACAATTTGATCATACTCTTTCACAGGAAATGTTTTGGAATTTGAGAAGCCCTCTAAGTTGATGGAATCTTCTGAATCAGCCTTTGCTAAGCTTGTTGCAGAGTACTGGGCAAATTATAGGAAGGGCTCTTCTCAATCTCTTGCAAACTTTTAAGGCAACCCAATGTGATGAAAGCCATTTTTATGCAATAGAGTTTTACTGATTGTCTAGGGTTTAGGGTGTTTGAAAATCATGGTCATTGATATATGAATTCTGATGTATGAGATTATAAGATCTGCAATTGTTCTTCAAGTCTTTCAAATCAATTGTGAACACCCTCTTATTTGTCTCTAAATTTTTTGTCGGCTTCGGATTGACCAAATGCTTGATATTGATCCGATTATCATTTAGTTTGAATTAAATGAGCCTGTTTGAGTTCAACAAAATTTTGAACCGAAAAGCTAATTTAGATGATTGAGTTAAAAAGTTGTAGAAGAAAGAAATTTGATTGTGGATTTATTTGAGATAACTTTTTTTCTGCTTTCTAAAGCAATTTTCTAATACAAAAAATTCTATTTCAACAAAATTTTAAAGTAAAAGGCTACTTTAGAAAGTAGTAAGAAAGCCATCTCAAAAAAAGCCTGTGTTAGAAATTATAACTTTTTAATAAACAAGAAATACTACTCAAAAGGCTTGAATCTTTGATATCATATGCAAATCTATCCTCATTATTTGATCATTTATTACTTTTTTGCTAATATTTAAAAAATAATATTTGAGAATATTTTGATATACAAATCTCTATTTATCTCTGAAAAAGCCAATCTTACCCTAAAAAATAAATTTTTTATAAATTATATATTTAATATTCTACAACTTCTTTTCTTCCTATGACCTTATCCACTCCACTGAGCAGTGAAGCACTTCAGCAGTCAACATTTGCTATAATTAGAACTTATTAGGCCTATAAACACATAATCATGAAAATTAGATACAAATACTTATTTTCAGAATTTTTTTTACACAAAATAGAATTAATTTTCTTATAATTCAAAACTTGTATCTTCAGCTAAACTTACTGAACCAATTTTTCCAAAAAAAAAAAAAAAAGTCTTTCAATTCTCTTAAAATTTTCTAACTTTGGGTTAGATTCTTCTATTTTTATTCTTAGTCAACATTATTCATCACAGAAGAAAGATGAAGAGATCACACTAATCCCTAATCTTACAACTTGTCCCATACCAGATTAGCATTAAGTTGCCTGCACTGATGTAGCCACCCGCTGCCACCCTCAAAAGGGCACTCGGTGACGTGACTAATTCTCGGCTGACCTAGAAGAGGCACCCACCCCAGAAATCTTATGACCCGCACTTGATTGGGCCCCATTTAAGAGGCGCTGCCGCTCGAGAGGATTCGAGCATGGATTGATGGGCAATAGGATTCCCAACCGTACTCCCCACCAACCAAGCTTAAGAACTGTGGGTGTCCTGCAAATTTTGAATTGAATGTTTCCTTCTATTGCATCCAATGAAATGATAAATTTAAGTTCATTTTTCTAACATTAAGAAACCAAATGAGCTCTGATATACAATAAAATTCCACTTCCACATAGCACAAACACCTGCAATTTTGTGGAAGGAGGTTGATATACACATAAAATGGAAGTAAGAGCAGTTCTTCATCCAGAAGAAGACAAACAAAGCTGAGGGAGAAAGGAAAAGAATAGAATGCACAGCTCCACTTGTTCTCTTAATTCACCAAGAATGAGCTGAAATTATAAACAGCTACTTATTGCCTTCATCAATCAAAACTACTACTTTAACTCGTCTGGTTTCTCTGACAGTAGATGTTACCATGGCGTCTACGTTGGCCACAGGATCCTTCAGCTCGATTTTTCTTATGGATTTCAGTATACATTTCTTCTATCATAGGCTTCCACAGTCGAACACGAGCATTTATAAACCAGTTTGAGACCTGGTAACACAGAGATGAAAGGTGGGATCAACAGATGGACTTAAAATGTAATGAGAAGTTCTATATTTGACGAGGTAAGTAGATGTATTATGGTTATGAAAACATTTTAGTAGTAATAAGATGAGGAAATTAAGTTGCGTCTCTGATTCTAACAATTGCTAAGAAAATTGGAGTGACAAATTGTCACACATCTTAAGTATGCAAGTGTTGATGGATGCTCATGAACAAAATGGTAATGGTTGAGAAAAATTTTAAGAAGTATTAATTGTGAAATTTCTTGAGTAAAAGAAACTCAACTCTTAAACATCAAGACATTTTTTCGTATAATGATTGAAATTTCATTAAAAAACTCTACAGTTATGCTTGCTCATCTCGGAGAAATCCAGGGATGAGTAACATATTGAGAAGTTACACTAACAGAATAAAATTGTGAGGCCCTTAGGCCAAAAGGGGGCAATATCTTGATAGTTAAGAGTTTAGGTTGTTACAAACGATACCAGTGAAATACGCTAGCCGAAAAGATGGAAACTAAATGTCATACAAGACAGTGGTACGCCATAGGAGCCACCTCTTGAATCTTATATGATATAAAGTGCAACGTGGCAGGAGTCACCACTTGAATTTTTTAAGGGTCACCTCTAGAATCCTATATGCCTGGTGGATGATTCTGAAATAAAGATGCTGACAAGGACATACGTTGCTTAAGCGGGTGAGATTGTAAAACCCCATGTAAAAGTATCTAAACTCTTAAACATCGGGGTACTTTTTTGGTGTGATTGTTGAAATTTTATTTAAGAAACTTTGCAGTTAAGCGTGCTCATCCCAAAGAAATTCTGGGAAGGGTGACTCCTGGTTAGTTACACCAACAGTACAAAACCGCGAGGCCCTTAAGCCAAAGCGGACAATATCTCGATAGTCAAGAGTATGTGTGGAGTCGGCACAGACAGGAGGTCGACGGGGTCGGGTAAGGCTACAGGCAGTGTGGAGTCGGAGCTAAGGATGGGATTCCGACCTTGGGAGATCGGATGGGGGCTGAGGAGGCGTCGGAGATGGAAGAGGGAGTCGGCTCGGGCGACTGGTACGGCTTTGGTGGAGGTCGGGAGCTGGGGTCGTGTGGGATTCGCGAACGAGAGAAGAGGATCGAAGAGCAAGGGCTCTTGGCCGGTATTTAACGAAGCCTGGGGTCGTTCGATCGAGGCGTGAGCTGCAGGATATCCGGGAAATGATCGTGAATCAGAGCAGGATATCCGGGATTTTGGCAGAGCTGGAAGCGATACGAGGTTTCCAAGATTTCTTGCGGGATTTGCGGGATAAGCGGCCAGCATTGTATAACAGGTACGTGAGAATTTTTGGTTGTCTTTTGGATAATGCATAGAGGTCAACAAAAGATTAAAAATTTTAATTATGAGGGTTCCAAATTCACCTCCAACTTTGAATTACTTGCATCGAAAGAATACTTGTTGTTGAATAAAAATTTTGCTTGAGGGAGAAAGATTGTCAATATCGATGACTAAGTTGAAGGATTGTTTATTATGATGCTCCTGAGAGAAGAATAGTCCAACATTGGAAGAGAAACAAGTGTTGCATTCCTAGCATATTACTGGCCTTTATCCATTTCTATAAAACTTTAGTTTTATAGGAGTTTCATCCACTAGTATATCGTGGGGATAAGCTGAGGAATTTAGTAAAAAGCTAAGTTACCTGGTTCCTTGTTAATCCACTTCTAAGTGCCAGCAACTGCTTCTCATTGTCTTTAGGGTACCTTGATTATTTCCAAAACTATCATTTTTCAACAAAATAACAAAAAAGCATAAATTATTCTGAACTATTTAGGCTGCCTTTTTATTCAAAAATATGAAGAAACTCACGGATGTAAGAAATTCTGAAACATCCATGCCCGAAGAACTGAAACAGATTTTTCAGGTAAGCCCCTCTGTGGCCTCCAGGATGGTTGATCTCTCTGCTTCAGCTGCTGTAAATCCCATTGTCTCTGAATGAAAGAAGACTCGAAGTTTCTTTCTTCCTCTTGCATGCATTCAGAGCTAGGTTCTCGACCGTTAGAAACAATCTCGTCTGCAATCGTACTCCTTATGTTCTTATAGAAGTTGGATATTGTGGTTAGAGCAAATTTAGCAGGTAGATTAGAGCCCGATGCAGCTTTAGCATTAAATGAGGAAACAACATTCTGTATTTGATCTAAGAACTGGTTGAATCTCTGGTCAACCTGTACCAAAGTAAAACACTTGCAATAGTGAATTTCTTTCAGATAATCCAAAATGATGGAAGCTTAATGAATGATCTGTATATCATAAGTCATTAGCAGAAAAGAAAAAACTTGAACTTGTGCCTCATTGAAAATGTCAAGAAAAAATATATAATTCAAATACAAAGAACAAATCATGTATCTATTACTTAACTTCACATATGCCACTTCATGGGATAAATTTTAGAAAAATTGTAATCCCAATGGTTAAAAAAAAGAGATTTACATTCATACCACAAAATTTTTATGTATTTACAAGTCTAACACCTAAATCTTTATACTTGTTATATACCACCTAGTGTTTAATCACATCAAAGAATATGAATGAAATTATGTATGTTATTTAGATAAGTTAATCTTTATGATATGATTTAGATATTAATGTGTTATATGGATAAATAAAAAGATTTAGATATTAAATATGTAAATAAGTAAGAATTCAATGGTATGCATGTCAATACTTTGATAAAATATGATAGCTTCTCAGAACTGGAGATGTAAGGAAACAACAAATGGTTTTAAGAAGTAAAAAAACAAAGAGAAAACGTTGAGTAATTAACATAAGGAAAACAAAGAACTTCCTACCATCGCAAGCATGTTTATGAGTTCAGATTTCGATGAATTACTCTGCTGCTTCTGTGGTTGACAGTCCATCTCTTGCTCATATTCATTTTCAACAGAACAAAATGGCAAGACATTAAAGCCAGTTTCCCTGAATCCTTTCACAGTAGAGCCACTGGAAGAAGACATATTGGCCTCAGACACAAGATCCGCAAGTGAATCATCAATCTCTTCAACATCTTCAACTGCATTACTGGTTAGTTCAGCAAGTATTTCTTGGATTGCATGTAGATATCTCAAGTCTAATGGCACCCGAGAAGATCCACTGTTTGGAAATTTCTGCACGTTCTCAAACAAGTAATTTTCATTAGTAAAATTATACATTTTATTAATATCTTTTGAACCGCCGCCACTGCCGCTGCTTGACATAACTTGTGTTTTGTCAGAGTAACTCTCATCTATGTACAGGTCATTAACGTTCGGCAAGTTCAAAACAGAAGGATGAGAAGAGCCAAGCCTCAGGGAGAGCTCATTATCAAAGCTAAGGGTACCTTGTTCTGAGCTTCCTACTAGATAAGATGGATGAAAACTACTAGAAGTTAGAGTTGAAGAGAACTGATTCGCAGAAAACTCATCATAGATCTCTTTGCAATTGAGATGGAAATCTGAATTGTCATCTTTTGGAGATGTTAAGAAACCCGAATGGACCTGAGGGACAAATTTAGAACATTTTGAGATCTTAGATGATAAATTTGGAGTGCTACAGCTGCCATTAGATGTACTGTTTCTCATTTCATCGAAGGTGAACAATGAAGAACAAGCAATGCTGGAATTTACATTATTCTCTCTAAAGTTGGTATTTTGAATTGAGGAATTTCCATTGTGATTCATGTTTCTAAGGACTTCTTCCTTATATGTCAGATATAATGGATTTGTATGCAAAATCTGTCTGAATCTTCCATGATCTGAAACACCAGACATAATATGAGAACCTGACAACATACTCGTGCTAAAACCATCCATGGCCATGTAACTATGATCTATCAATGAAGAGACAGGGTCAAAGACACCATTCTCCATCATGAAAGATTACTGAAGCCTTTGGGTTTTCTCGGAAGAAGTTTTTCTGCATCAGCAACCAGAACAATTAAGCCATTTACACAGAAACTAGCATACAAATTACATGGTTGAAAAAGTAAAAACAGGCAAGCTTAACAGCTTATTTACATGAATCATAACATAGCAAGTCTGCGACAGTCACATGAGAAAATTTATGTGTGATGTATTGAAATGTAGATGCAGTAACTATTAAGGGTAGAGAGCTAAGCTCTGCTAGAAGAAGAAACGCAGAAGTGATTAAAATAGGCCACTAAATATTGTAAACTTCAAATTAAAGGGGCTATTTGATGTCAAAATTTCATTAAAAAACCTCACTAGATGAAGCAACAAGGATATGATCAACTAACCTACTTCAGAAACCAACATATACCAACCTGAATATGAAATGAAATGATCTCTTCACTGTAATCCAATTAGTAGAAAGAAGCAAAGATTAGAACAATGTAAATGGTAAAACAAGAGAAGTTCAAGCGACACACACCTCACTACTAATCAAAGACTTGCTAAAGTAGGAAACTTATCCATTTCCCCATTGAAGGCCTACAAGATTCAACATTCTCATCACTCATAAACAAAGAAGATTATAACGGAGTAGAAAGTTCATCAGTTATGTACATTATATAGCATCAAAGTTCAACCAAAGCAGGTGTTTCCAGGTGATCAGAAAACTGGTTTTCATTCATCACTAAAAACAAAATTCAGGGTCCCAAAAGTCAGAAGAATAATGCACCTTCACCTCCATACCTGCAAAAGGCCAAAAGCTATAATATTCATAAATGAGATTCTCACGCTGCTTAATCAGATTGGTGGGTCAGTCTTCTTTTTCCACACAGCGTAAGGCGACGATAGGACAATATCATATTGTTTACACTGACACTGAAAAAAAAAAGAAGACCATGGCTTTTATCTCCCTATGATTGATGAACACAAAGGTGATCGACCATGGCCTTTGTTCAGGGCTTAACAGAATAACATGTCACAACACAAACAGCAAAAATTATGCTTTTTCTATGAGATTTTCTCGTTCTCTTATTAAGGCCTTATTATTATTATTATTATTATTATTATGATATTTAGGTCATTTAAAACAAATTCAGACGTACAATGCATACACAAAGACTTGAATCCAAGAACTTTTAATTAAAAATCTAAGCTCTCAACCAACAGGCTAAGATGAGCTGTGTAATTTTGGCTATCATTTTTTGTCATATTTTCATAAAATTATGTTAAAAAAATTTATTTTTTAGAACTAAATGTATTAGAATGATAGTTGTTAAAAATATTATTCAACTTTTTAAAAATTAAATTTTTATAATAGCTGTACACTAATCATTATCATTACAGGAGGCTGTAGCTAGAAGAAATACAACTCAATTGGATTTGTTAGTTAAAAGTTTTAGCTGCTAATCAAGATATTTTAGATGTATGTACAAAATTAATTTAATTGATCTAAATATCATAAAAAAAACTTCAGCTTTGAGAAAAAGCAAAGCAGAAATAGACCAAAAGTGAAAAAAAGGAAGGCATTTAAAGGAATGGGTCATATTAACTCCAGCACAGGGATAAGTACATCACTTGTCATAGAATTGGCGGGCAAAGAGAAAAACGGAAGAAAGAGACTGCTTCAAGAGAAAATGACTATAATTCAAATAATTATAATCATAAAATAATAAAAAGAATGAAAAAAATAAAAAAAATATTTAATATAAAAAAAATTTAGACATTTTTAATATTTTGGTATTTAAAATCTAGAAAGTTAATATATTTTAAATGCATTTAACAGTGATATTTTTTAAATGAATTAGTTCGCGAGGTCTGAGTCAAACTTAACTCTTAAGCTTTTCGAATTTGACTTTGAGCTATTTATCGATTATAATTCGGGACTCACTAATTACACCCTTAATGTAAGTACTCTCCCTCAAAGAAATCACATTGAAATTATTGACACTTTTTAAAGAAAAAGTTATTAGATGTCAACAATATGAACTGGATAACAGCTAATCAGAAGTACTTATATATAATTTTCTGAATGATCATCCATAAATAAATAATCTGCATCTAATAATATCAAAAGAGGAGCATCCGAGCAATAGCCTCAGTGAAGAGAGGCAGTTGATGTCTCTCGCCCCTCATTCAACGTTCATCACCATTGCATTCGCTTCTCTAGTTCAGCTCCTGTTCTTCGCAGCTGCTCCGCAAATTTAGGCTTCCTTTAAGACATCTTTCTTACTTCTTAAAATAGCTTTCTAAAATTTTTGTATTAGTGGATAACAAATGCTAAAAGCTCTGCTAGGGTTTGTCGATTTTCCTCTTCTTCGACTCACCACCTTCCTGTGGTCCACCACCGTCGCTGCTGAAGGGATCCTATGGATCCCTCCCTCTACTCCACCTATTTTTCCCCTCTCCCCAACTCCTCTCCTCCCCCTATTTTTACTGGAACCTCCTGCCCTTTACCTTGGGACCGTATTCTTCCCAATTGTGATGACCCAGAATCAATAGTGAAAGGATTCGTCTAACATTCTGATCGAACTCCATTCCAGCTGCCTTGCTCGGACCTGAAAATTTCAACCACATATAATGAGCTTACAAAGCCCAGCAGGTCACCAAAGCCTACAACTGAAATCAAAGCACGGCGATGCTATCAATATGCAGGTCAAAGTAAATCAAGTCAATCAATGGTGAATGAGTCTATGCAATGCGGAAATCCAGAGTCAATGAAAGCAAGTCTAAACAGCAGAAATCAATAGTCAATACTCAATACAGCGGTAAAAACATCGATAAATCAATACGTCTCAGCAATCAAATCAATAAGTGACTGGAAGCCAATATCTATCCATCGGTGTCTATCAATCAATACTATCAGTTCAATCAATCGCGTCGTCTAGTCAATTCGTTGTATCTATATCATCTGTCCAATCAATAGAATGTCTGTATCAATTAATAGCATCAATTAATTCCATAAGGGACTCGTGTCAGAACGTACTCTTACAAATCAATCAATCCAATTATTCAATA